TCTTAGATTCTTAGATTCTTAGATTCTTAGATTCTTAGATTCTTAGATTCTTAGATTCTTAGATTCTTAGATTCTTAGATTCTTAGATTCTTAGAATTTTTTAAATAAATTTTTTTTTGGAATTTAGTATATTTTAAAAACCAAATTTCAAGATTTTGGGACCCAAAAGGCTCATTTAGCTCAAAATCTCTGTTCTTCCAAATATTTAGAAAAATAAATATCAATTAAAAAAAAAATGAAAAGAAGAAGAAAGAAGAAGTACACATAGAAACATACATACCTATCAGTGATAGCCTATCACTTTCATTTTTCACTTTATAAAAAAAGAAGGATAGGTCAATCAGGTGAGACAGTGTGGGATAATAGGAGAGTGGTTAGAGAAAAATGGGAATTTTTCGATACTAAAAAAAATGTGGGACAACTGTTCATTCATTTGGGGTCAGTCAAATCATTTTGGGTTTTTTTTTGGTTTTCTCAGGAAGCAGAACATATATATCTCTCTGGAGGAAATGAGAAAAAGAGAGAGAGAGAGAGAGAGAGAGAGAAAATATCTATAAAATGCAAAGAAAGAAAAGACACAAAATTTTAGGACAGATTCTTGAAAGATATGGTTGAGGGGGAGGAGGAAAAGAAGAATGAGAAAAAAGGTAATGGAGGGAATTTGGGTAAGAAACATTTTTTCCCTTCTCAAGGACAAAGTTGGTGTCAAAAAAAGTTGGGTAGGAAAAAATTGGAAAATTTTGGATATCGGAAGTTTTAGAGCTACAGTAATCCCGAGTGGTCTTTCATAAGACTTGGAAAAAGTTGAAATCTAGATTTCGGAAAATTCTGGATTTTCAAATTTTAGGATTTCCTTGAATTTCCAAAACAACCTAATTTTAAACGGAATTTCAGATTTTCGAAAAATTTCCAAAGTTGAAATTTTAAGTTTGCAAACTTTTGAAATTCTGGAATTTCCAGATTTTTAACTTTTTGAGTTTCTAGAATTTCTGGGATTGCAAGATTTCAAATTTTCCCAATTTCTGGAATTTCCCGATTTTCATCTTTTTGAGTTTCTGCGATTTCTAAATTTCTGGTTTTTTGGAATTTTTCTAAATTTTCCCCCAAATATTCGGGGTTCCGGATTCTGGAATATCCAAAATTTTAAACGGAATTTCAGATTTTCGAAAACTTCCAAAGTTGTATTTTTGAATTCCCAAACTTTTGAAATTCTGGAATTTCAAGATTTTTGATTTTTTTCAGGTTTTGAAGTTGAAAAAATTCTCCGGCTTCATTTTTGAATGATTTCTGAAATTTGGTATTTTCGGATTTTTCGACTTCTTTGAGTTTCTAAAATTCCTGAATTTCCAAAATTCCAAAATTTCAAAAAAACCTACGAAAATAAGAAGAAAATAAAAATAAAAATTTGGAGAATCATGTGAGTAAATGAATAAATGAGAGGCCTGTAGTGATTATAGTTGCTCCTCTTTTCTTTTTCTTCTTTTTCTTCTTCTTATCAGAAAAATCAGAAAAAGAAGAAGAGGAAAGAAACGAGTATAGGAATTTGAGAGAAATTAGAGAAAAATGGAGCAAATTTTGGGGAGTTTTGTTTTATGATTGTGTTTGTACTCAGATTGGGAGAGCAACATTTAGTAAATGATTCGGCTGATTGATAGTATTCCAAAATTTCTCAAAAAATTCTGAAATTTTGGAAATTCAGAAATTTGGAAAATAGAAAAAACTTCTAATAAACTTCGACAACTTTGAAAAACTTTGAAAAAAAGAATTTTGAAATTTTCATACAATTTAGAAATCTCAAAAATCAGAACATTTAAAAACTTTTGTTTCGAACATTAGAAATTCCGAAAACTCCAAGAATTTGGAAAAACTAGAATAATGTGAAATTAAAGACAAAACCACAAGTTCTGGAAAATTTCAAAACCCGGAAAATTCGAAAATCCAAAAAAAAAAAACTAAACATCCAAATATTCAGAATTTCATGAAAGACAGGAAAATTCAAAGAAATTCGAAAGTTCGAAAGTTTTCCAAAATTTGGAAAATTCCTGAAATCTGAAATTTTAGAATTTCGAAAATCCTAAATTCCGTGAATTCTGAAATTCAGAAAATCCAGAAAAAGTTAAAATTTCAAAAAATCGCAATATCAAGAAATTTAGAAATTCCATGTTTCTCACAAAGTTCGTCAATTTGAGAAGTCGTAAATTTGAAAAGAAATTCAAAAAATCACAAGATCAAACTTTTCGAAAATTCGGAAATTGAGACAGTTAGACAAATTTTAAAAATAGAAAACCTCAAATATTCGAAAACGCCAAATCCAGCCAAAAAAAAACTACAGTAACCAATGAGAACTACAAAGAACAACTGTCCAAGTCAATGAGTCAAAAAGGGCAGATGGTCCAGACATCTAAAGATAAAGATCTCTACATAAACAAACCATTACCGTAGTCCCAAAAATATGGAGGTACAGTAACCCTAAATTACTACATAAAACAAGTTTCAGAAAATTTGAAATGCCAGAAATGCAAGATTTTTAATAATCCGAAAAACGAAAAATCTCAAATTAGGAATTCAACATTTTCAAAAATCAAAAAGTTTTGGAAAAAAACCCTAGGGTACGGTAGCTTCGAAAATCAGACTCCTAGGCTTCCAGAAAATCCTACAGTAACCCAGAAAAAAGACAACTACAAAATAGACAAGGATCTAACAAGTTTCCCAGAGAGGTCCAATAGTTAATACTAGGGGGAACAAGGTGAGGAAAAAGGGGGGGGCAAATATATATATGAGGGTGAAGGAATGGAGGACACTCTTCACCTAGGGACAGAGAGAGATACATATCAAAACGACAAGAAATTGCAGAGGGAAATAGTGTGCGATTTGAAGAGAGTCGAGGACAAATAGTCACATATATCCTCACAAAAGAGTTCAGGGTCAACTCTCAGTGTCTGCGTCTCTTCACTCTCTTGCATCAGGATAAAAGGGACCATTGTAAAAAGAGAACACCCCTTAGGAGACGAAAAAAAAAGATAAAAGAAGAACCTGAGAAAGGTACACATAGAGGTCAGTTGGTGAGTAAACGAACGGGAGGGAGGAGGGACAGTATACTTATATTATTATTATGATGAATTGGTTCTTGGGAAAAAGTAAAGGCGTCTTTTTTTGTTACTTAGGCAGCGAAATCTAGATAAGGTTAAAAAATCCACCCAATCCTTCAACTTAGAGCTCAATTATCTCGATTCCTGTTGAAGAATCAAAAAGTGGTCAACTGACAAAATGCTTATCATAATATCAGCAACATTTTATCAGTTGATAATTCTTTGATATCTCTTAAAGGAACCGAGATAATTAAGCTCAAAGTTAATGGTGCAATACTGTCGAAATCGAGGTCTTGACCTAGGTGGCAGGAAAGTAGGGTCTCTTTAAAGGCGCATATCTTGCTAGGACCAATTTTTTTAAAAAAATTGTTAACTATGAAAATGAAGCTTTGTTTTTGTTTAGTATAATCTGGAAGTTTCAGACGAATCACAAAAGTTTGAGTTGCTTTTCAAAGGCTTTTATATCAACAAGCTTGCTTGACTGCTTGGCAACCCCAGAGTTCGGAGGATCGCATCACGTTAAAGGCGCATATCTCGCTACGATTAAATTTTACAAAAAAGTTGTCAATTACAAAAATGAAGCTCTATTTTGGCTCAGTCCAGTATGAAATTTTCAAACCAATCGAAAAAATTGAATTGCTTTTTGAAGCTCCTTACATCAACAAGCTTGCTTAGCTGCTTGACGATCCGAGAGGCCAGGGGATCCCATCAGTTTAAAGGCGCATATCTCCCTCGGATCAAATTTTCCAAAAAAGTTGTCTACTACAAAAATGAAGCTCTGATTCTGTTCAATGAAGTCTCAAATTTCCAGATAAATCGAGAAACTTTGAATTAATTTTTTAAGGCCCTATAACAACAAGCTTGCTTGTCTAAAGCTAGGCTACCACAGAAGCTGGGGTTCGCAACACTTTAAAGGCGCATATCTCGCCAGGACCAAATTTTGTCAAAAAGTTGTCCACTACAAAAATGAAGCTCTGGTTTTGCTTAGTGTATCTTTAAATTTTCAAAAAAAATCAAATTACTTTGAACCTATTTTGTAGGCGTTTGAACTAGCCAAACTTTTTTAGCTATGATTTACCAGAGGTCTTGAAAAAGCCGGCTTGGCTCAGACCTCAAAATTTGAATATAGTTGAATCTAGTATTATTTCATAGCTCTTGTTTTATTCTACATCTTATTTTTTGATTCGAACAAAAATATTAAGTTTGAGCCAAGTTATGCGTTATACCATTTTGCAGTAGTACTCGACTCATTGGAAATTACATATCGCTAGTTCAAGCGCTTACAAAACAGATATAAAGTGGCTAAATTTTTTTGAACTTGTTAAAACCACACTAAGCATAATGAGAGCTTTATTTTTGTACTAGATACGTTTTTTTCTAAAATTTCAGCCTAAGGAGATACGCGCCTTTAAATCTGTCTAGCTTAGCAGATCAAAATTGTGAACTGGTCAAGGCGATTTCACTGTTTAAGCTGAGCAATTGTGCATAATAAGTGGTGGAGGCAGTTAGAGAGATAGATAAGTACCTTTTCTCCTTATACAGAAATATATTTAAAAGAGGGAGAGATCAAGTACCTTGTTTAGTAGGGGGAACGTTTTGTCAGTCTGTGTGTCTGGGTGTCCAAAAATTAGAACGATCTAAAGAAACCAATGGTTTTGGACTCTTTATAGATGGATTTTGAAATTTCGAAAACATTTTTTCAAAATCTAAAATTTGGGAATTTCAAAAAACCAAAAGCTTGGAAAAGTTTCGAAAAAAAATCTTCAGAAATATTTTTAGAACTTCAGAATTCAAACTATTTGGAATCTCAACTTTGAAATGAAATAGTTAGAAAAAAGATGAAATGTTCATTTTGTTTCCTGGGATCCTCATCATTTCATATTTCTCTTCTTCTTCTTCTTTCCCATCCAGATGTCTTCAGGAGAAGAAGAAGAAGAAGAGGAACAACAGAGGAAGAAGAAAAAAGAAGAAGAAGAAGCTTCTTCTCTTCCTTCCCATTTATCATTATTTAATCGGTTTCAATACGAAAAATGTGAGCATTTCACATTGAATTTCTGATGATCGATTTCCAGTAATAAGAATTGAAAACTGAGAGACGGGGGGACAGAATTGAAAGGTTTTGGATTGGATTTTGGAGAAATTTGAACAATGGAAAAGAGGTAGAAATTCAAGATTTGAGACAATTTTCCAGAATTCTGGGTGCTCAGAAATTTCGAATTTTTAATGATTCTGGATTTTTGGAGTGTTCCAGAACTGGGTGCTCAGAAAATATTAAATTGTCGGGATTTTCAGAAGTTTTGGAACTTCTGAAATTTTTGGATTTTCCGAGATTCCGGGTGCTCGACTTTTCAGATTGAAAAAGTAGGTTTTTTTGGGATTTCAGCTTTCTCAAATTTTTAAAATTGCAGAGCTTCAGGATCATAGAATTTTGGGTCTGTCAGAATTTTCATAATCTGAAATTTTAGAGTTTTGAAATTTTCAGAACTTCAGAATTTCAGAATTTCAGAATTTCAGAATTTCAGAATTTCAGAATTTCAGAATTTCAGAATTTCAGAATTTCAGAATTTCAGAATTTCATAATTTCAGGATTTCAGAGTTTCGGAATTTCAGAATTTCAGAATTTTCGAAATTTCAGTATTTCAGAATTTTCGAAATTTCAGAATTTCAGAATTTCAGAATTTCATTATTTCAAAATTCCAGAATTCCAGAGTTTCAGAATTTCAGAATTTCAGAATTTTCGAAATTTCAGTATTTCAGAATTTCAGAATTTCAAAATCTCAGAATCTCAGAATTTCAGAATTTCAAAATCTCAGAATTTCAGAATTTCAGAATTTCATAATTTCAGAATTTCAGAATTTCATAATTTTAGAATTCCAGAATTCCAGATTTCAGTATTTCAGAATTTCAGAATTTCAAAATCTCAGAATCTCAGAATTTCAGAATTTCAAAATGTCAGAATTTCAGAATTTCATAATTTCATAATTCCAGAATTTCATAATTCCAGAATTTCAGAATTTCAGAATTTTCGAAATTTCAGTATTTCAGAATTTCAGAATTTCAGAATTTCAAAATCTCAGAATCTCAGAATTTCAGAATTTCAAAATGTCAGAATTTCAGAATTTCAGAATTTCGGAATTCCAGATTCCTAAAATTTTTGAGAGCTAAAAAATTCTAGAAATTTCATCAAAAAAGTAAAAAAAAATCTGGAAATCCCAAAATCCGAAAAACAAAAAAAAATAAAAACCCTAGAAACAACCCTAATTTCAGAATCTAAAATTCGAAAAATCCTGAATACATCTATTTTCAAAACAAAAAAAAACATTCTCTAACTTTAAAAATACCCCAAAAAAAAGTTATCCAGATGCTCTGCTGTTTGTGGTCCCAAGTTTTTTTGGCGCATCTGAAATTAGGCGAAATTTCAAAAATTAAACATTGAAAAACTATTCAAAAAGAACTTAAAAACCGAGTAACATTAGGAATTCAAAATTTAGAAAAAAGAAAAAAAAATTGTTGAAAAAATCGAAAAAAAAATCAGGAAGAATTTAAATGACAAAAATTGTAAAAATTATTGGAAAAAATTCCAAAACTTTGGCAACACTATTTCAGGAGAATATTTCGAAAAACCGGTTTCAATGACGATATTTCAACAAAAAAGAGTAAAAAAGAAGGGAAAAAAAGAGTCGAGTAGTGATTTGAATTTTAATAACCCTACAATTCTCTATTTTCTCTCTCTCTCTCTCTCTCTCTCTCTCTCTCTCTCTCTCTCTTTCCATTTGAAAAGGTCACTTTTTCTGTGTGTGTGTGTGTCATTTCGAAAAATCAAAGAGGGGAAACGAAACCATATGGTTCTCATTTTTGAAAAAAAATTTTGTCCCAAAAAAATTGGACCACCAGAAGCACCAACACCCACGCAAAAACATTTGGGACACACAGACAGGCAATTTTTTTGACATTCTTTTCAGAATATTCAAACTTCACGGCTTCTGATTCCAAAATGAAAATTCCACAATTTTAAAACCCCTAGTTCATTTTTTGTCCCATTTTATGGACCTCCATTATTCTTTTTCCCCATCTATCTAGTCAAAAAAGTCACATTTTCTTGTACATTATAATAATACACAAAAGATTATGAGAAACAAAAAAAAGAGAGAGAGAGAGAGAGAGAGAGAGAGAGAGAGAGAGAGAAAGAGAGTATTGGAATGTCCTAAATGACCTAGATTCAGAAATAGAGGAAGAGAGAGAAGAGAGAAAAAGGAACACACAGTTTTTGGGATGATGATGGACAGTAGTAGTAGTAGTAGTTGGTGTCTACTACTACTTCTTCTGAAGAAGAGGATCTACAGATTTTTGGCCTTGAACCAAAAACCTACAACACAGGGAGTGTGTGTCTGTGTGGGAGGTGTCTGGGAAGGCACCATTGAGATAATGGGTTAGAAAGAAGTTAGAAAATAATGTACTTGGAGGTGGATTTTATAGGGACCAGGAAAGTTTGGGATCTAGTCAGCTAGGTAAGGTGTCTTTTAGGCGTCTACGAGCACAGAGTCCAAGTAGGACACTAAGAACGTAGAATGCTTGGGTCATTTTATACCAGCGAGGCTTCGAAAGGTCTAATTAGTCTGCCCAGGCTTCTAAGAGGTAGATCTATAGCAACCCAGGAGGTTTACCTCAGGCCTTTTCAAACGTTTGCTTAGATCTTTGTCTAGACTCCTTGGAGCCCAGGAACGCAGGGATCAGACTTGCCTAGGCTTGGAGTATTCTAGGTATTTACAGGCCAGCTCTTTTTGGGTACTAAAAAATAAAAAACCATGTAGGGAATTAAGCAGGTCTGGGTCAAGCTTGAAAGCTAGGCTAGGATAGGCTTGAAAAAGTCTAGTTAGTCAGGCCCGTTCTTTTTGGAGTATATGAACTCGGGAGGCAAAGAACCAACGAACCAATCAGGCTTGCATAGGCTTTTACAGGTCTAGTAAGCTTAAATTAGGCAAACCAAGCCATCAACTTCAAACCTTTTTATCGCATTTCCTGTAGGAGGTATAAAAAATTGATCAACTAATAAAATGTTGGAAATTTCATAACATACATTTTATCAGTTTACAAATTTTTGGCATCTCTTATAAAAATCAAGATAATTGAGTTGCACGCATAGGGGTTGCAAGCGCGGGCTCAAGGTCGCGAAAAACTACAAACTGTAAGCCCATATATCTCATTTCCAGTAAAAGATATAAAAAATTAGTCAACTGACAAAATGTTTATCATTAAGTCAGAAATATATATATCAATTTGGAGATTTTTAGGTAATCTCTTGATTCTGATCCAATAGTTTAGACTGGGTAAAAAGTGCGCCCCAAATTTTCAGGTTTTTCTGGAATAGCTTATTTTAGTTTGGGTCCAAAGATGTCTCAAAAACCTTGGAGTCTATTTTTGTTCTATCACAACTCGAAAACTTTTCTACTGTAAGCTGACCTGGATTTTTCAAATCGTGATAACTCTCTTATTTTCATTCAAAACCAAAACGATTTGTCTAAATCGATAGAAAACCTCAAGCTCTACAAATCGATATAAAACTCAAAGTTTCTACATTACTAATTAGTACAATTCGTTCTTCCCATCGCCCTATCTATCTATGCTCCACGCCTCCCCTTCTCCCCAACAACTCAAGTAGAAAACAAACTTAGCAACCAAAACAAATACAAAATGGAGAGAAAAGAAGAAGAAAGCTTTCTTATAGAGAGAAAAGGAAAAATAAGATTACTGTCAAGGCAAAAGTCGTGAGTCAACACAGTGAGCCCCAGAGGTGGGGAGAGGCTCAGATGATGACAGGAGGCACAAATGGGGAATACAACATTATTGGAAAATAAATTAAAAAGAAAGAGGATCAAATTTAAGGTATATGGTTAGTTTACAGGTTTCTGATAGCGTGAGCATTTAAAAAAAGAGCCCACTAACTTTGAGCTAATTTATCTTGGTTCCTGTAAAAGATATCAAAAAGTGGTCAACTGACAAAATAATTTGCATATTATGCTGAACATTTTAGTACTTGACAAATTTTTGATATCTTCTGAAAAAGCCGAGATATATAGACTCAAAGTTGGTATGCGTTTCTACTTTGAAAAGGACCCCAAAGGAAAACTACAATATCTCAAAAACTAAAAAAGTTGAAAGATTTCAGTCAATTATAAAATTGAAGATTTTAAAATATCACACAAATTGTTAGTTTTCAAATATTTGATAGCTCAAATGGTTGGGGAGATAAAAGCGTTGGAAGAGAGACGCAGATGGTGCAGCCACACTAGCTTCTCTGCGCCCTCCCCCTTTTAAGCGTATTCTTTAAGCGCTGATATCTCTTTAACTATTAAAGCTATTAAAAAGTTGCGAACTGATAAAATGTGTAAAATTTTATGCTCTTTATTTTTGTAGTTTACATATTTGTTTCAACTGTTTCGGTTGTTGAAATATGAGCGTTAGAAGAGAGACGCAGACAATACAGCCACCCTTGCTTCTCTGCTGCAAATATGCCCTAGCTAACTTGCCTTTTGAGATATGAACGTTGGAAGAAACCATGCAGCCGTGCTTGCTTCTCTGCGCCCAGTTTTTTTGGGCTTTGATATCTCGTTAGCCGTTAAAGCTATGAAAAAGTTGAAAACTAATAAAATGTGTAAAACTTTATGCTCTACAAATTTGAATTTAACAAATTTGTTCTAGCAAACTTGGCTTTTGAGATATGTTAATTTTCCCATTGAATACCTACTTGGAAATTAAAAGGAGTGTAGTGAAAAGGAAAAATGTTGTATATTATAAATGATGATACTAAACATCAGTTGTGATCATCATCATCTTCTTCTGAATGGACCATTCTCTATTTCTCTCTCTCTCTCTCCTGATTTTCTCATGTACTTTGCATCGGTTTTCAATCAGAATTTTCGAGAGAGAAATAGATAAATACAAGAATACAGAATACTGGTATCATATTACAAAAGACTTTTCGAGAAATAGTATCGGGAAGTTGAGAGAGAATAGAGAGAGAGAGAGAGAGAGAGAGAGAGAGAGAGAGAGAGAGAAAGAGAGAGAGAGAGAGAGAGAGAGAGAGAGAAAGCGAAAATGAGTAGGTCAACTGGAAGTTTTGTTGTATTCTGTATTCGACAGGGAGAGGAAATGGGAACAACGAATAATCTCTTGGTGGAATCTCTGGAAAATGAGAATCGGGATAAAAAGTTGTGTCTTCTGTGGAAATTTCTAGAGGGATTCTAGAAGTTTCAGAATTTCCAACTTCGAGCTCAATTATCTCGATTCCTGTAAAAGATATGAAGAATTGGTCAACTGACAAAATGTTTATCATATTATCACCTATATTTTATCACTTGGCTATTTTTTGATATCTATTGAAGGAACCGAGATAATTAGCTTAAAATGCAAGTATAGTTTGAGAGACGGAGGAGTGAGAGCTGCAAACGCGCTCCCTTGCTAAAATATTTGAAATCGTACCTTTCGATGGTATTCAGATGGAAAAGGTTGAAAAATTTGAATTTTCGAATTTTTAAAAATTTCAAAAAAAAGGAAGAAAAAGAAAAATAGGAACAGGGGAGAAGTAAAGAGTTGAACACACAGAGGCTGTGTCTCGTTAAACTTGACGAATGGATGGGAAGAGAAAGAGATGGACACAAAAAAGAACATTCTGGAATGGATATAAAAGTATAGGTAGTTTATGTTAGAGTTTGGCCCAAAAAAGTCCCAAAATTTTTCCAAAAAAAATGACAAAAATCGGTGGAAAATTCCGAAGTTTATGGCTTTTTTAAGGGCGCATGGTTCGAAAATTTGCTTTTTACTTTTCAAGGATTCTTCATTTAAAAAAATGTAAGAATACTAAACCCCTTCAGTGGAAAAAAAATTTCAAATTTGAATTTTCCGCCAAATGCTAAAAGCCCAACAAAACATTTTTAGGAGCAAAGAAGAAAGGTAAAGCGACAACCGCAATATGCTCTCTCTCTCTCCCGGGAGCCTGCTCAAAGAAATAGTGTATAGATCAGAGAGAATTAGAGAAACAGAAAGAGAGGAGGGTCAGTTTTCTTTGTCTCTGAGAAGTTTTGTGCTCCTCCTCCTCTTATTGCACTTTTTCTAGTGCTCTTTGGGACTAATTAATGTGAAATTCAGGTAGTCTCACAGATGGTCTTGGAAAAATAGAAATATCTCGAAAACTAAAAAGTTTTGAAAAATTATGTCAATTGGAAAATGAAGAGCATTACATTTTACATATTTTAGTGGTTCACAAAATTTTTATATCTTTAATGGTTCTTGAGATATAAACCTTTAAAGGACTAACCACCCTAGAATAACCCCACTTACTTCGAGCCAATTTATCTCGGTTACTGTAAGAGATATCAAACTGATAAAATTTTGATTTTTTTATCACACATATTTTGTTAATTGATTACTTTTTGACAGCTTTTACAGGAACTGAGATAAATAGGTTCAAAGTTGACGGTGTTGGGGAGATGTATGGTTCTTGTAAAAACCCCTCAGGAATACTGGAATATCTCGAAAACTAAAAAAGTTACAAAATTTTTAATAATTGCAAAATTAAAGAACATAAAATTTTACACAAATTTGTAGTTTACAGATTCTTGATAGCTCACATGGTTGCTGAGATGTAGGCGTTGGAGGAGACACGCAGACGGCGCAGCCACTCTAGCTTCT